GCCGCGCCCCGTTTCACTCCATGCCCCCATCGCCCCCGTGTCGCGCACCTCCCAATCACGTGGCTGGCCATTCACACCACAAAGTAAATACTTGTACTGCACCTGGCAGTCGAAGCGATGGAATCGAAAACGACCCTTCGGTGCGGAACCGACTCGCTGCTCCGCCGGGGTGGCCCTCTCCGGTCGCCTTGGTATGAAGCTCCACGAAGATGGGGGACTGGGAGATGAAGACGGGGAAGAGATCCTCGCGTTTGGGGGGAAGCATTTTCGAGGCTGGGGCCCGAAGGGCCCTTCGGGTCCCAGCCCTTGAAAAAGGGCAACAAAACCTACAGATCTTCCAACGGTGCAAATGTTCGGCAAAGCTTTTGCATAGGAACATTCTCGGTACGGTGAGGAGCACGACGGACCGAAGCGGCTTTTGAACCGAAGAGATCTCCATCAACGATGAGCCACCCTACCGAGCCATCCAAAGCAAAGCATGACGGCCCTGTGACGGCCACAACGCTCCGAGAATCACAGCAAGACATAGCAAGACCTCGCAGCCTCTCATTCAACAATGAAGACACTTGGGATTATATCAGTGTCTTTTTCATCGTTTCGCTCGTTCTTTTGGGCACCTTTCGTGTCCACAAAGTTCTGTCAAAGCAGTCTGCTGATTCTTTTTGCAGCTTGTATGCGAATTGGGGCAAAAGAACATGGGCTAGCTGACGATCTCGTCCAACAGCCTTTTCGAACGTTTCGCAGCCGAATTCTCGAGAACTGCGATCAACTGCGGGTGGAAGCAGCACACCAAACGTGACACGAGTCTCGCGATGGGCGTACGAAGTCGTCGTTCAAACGCTCGAACGAAGCTCTCTTCGTACGCGTTGCCGCCGATGTCCAGCGACGAACTGAGCACTCTCGAAGTGAACAGCGAGCCAGGCTGAGCCTGTAGATCGCCTTGATTCTCTCACTGATTGCGACCACCGCTGTTTCGACGAACAAATCTGTAACAGCCAAAGTGCAAAGCACTTGCGGAATCCTTCGGTGAGAACTCCTTTGGGCACGGAACGCTTGGTGATGGTCCTAACTGCCGGGTGTTCAGGGACTTGCTCAGAACCCGGTGTGACTCTTGGGTTCTCCTAAATGTTAAACTGACAGTGTAGATCTTCATCCTTGACTCTTTTCGTTCGACAGCCTGCGCACGGTCTCTTTCTCTTGAAGCTTGAAGGGCTGAAAACGAACAGGACAATCCTTCGGTGTTTGGTGGGCTTCTCGGCCCGTCGACGCACAGGACTTGCCTCGACTGCCCCGGACTCATCGACCACTTTCCCTGACTGTGGGAAAAAGGTCCGCATGCAGTCTGGCCCCTTCTCCACAGTGCCCTCACACCTGCTTGGATCTACCATTCCCGCAATCATCAATCAATACCCTTTTCTATGTACGTGAATTGATTCCCCTTGGCGAATTCACACATCATGAAGCCCACCAAAAAACCCGTTGTTCCCTCTAGGTTCCCGGCACCGTCGGCATTCCGGCACCCCCGTGCACCCCCAACACGGTCCGGGAAAACATTCCACGTCTGCATCGCGACAAGCGATCCCACGCGCGTGACACACGGATGCGTGCAGGACACGTCACGTGTTTTCCGTCCTGCTGGGTTTCCAGCTCCATCGCTCTCGAGACGTCCCAGCTCCCCAGGCTCGGGTGATCGCCCGTGACCCGCACCGTCCTCACGATGTCGCGTTGCGGCGCGGCGCGGTGGGTTCATGGGAAGCGGTTGGTTGGAGCATCGGTTTCTTTTGAGATCCCGATTGAAACTCGAATCATGTCAAGGAGACCTCTACTTTGGAGTGATGTGGTCCGTCTGCAGATTTAAACCTGAACAAAAGCCGAACCATTGAACCACTACTTCTAATTCTAATTTAACTTAATTACTTGTAGCTTCTTGCTCCTAGTAGTAAGGCCAGGAGCCCCGTTCGTAGCGTCCTTGCTCCGTTCGTAGCGACGCCCATTGAACCACGTAAGTTGCCATGTAAGTGGTCGTATCGTCACACCCACGGAACCGCACCAGGGTGGACCGACATGGCGATGAACGTCATCGGGAGCCCGGGCTCTCCAAACTTGATGCCGCGGCATTCCACGTGAAAATACCTCGGCGCCGCGGCTGAGCGCGGAAAGAGGTACCGGGGTGGGAAGGGAAAAGGAAGAAGAGATCTCTCTAGTTTCACTTCGTTTCAATGATGGGTCCGGATGTATTAGAAGCCATTTGTTAGGCCAAGTATGCCACTTCGCAGCAACCATGTCCAAGTATGGGGTGGGTATCGATCGACATTGTGCCTCATTGCGCCGCACACACAAAGGGATGCCTGGAATGAAACCACCCCGCTGTGTTTTCCTTCTTTTAACTATATTCATTCTTGCTACTGTTATTTTTTATAACAACTTCATTACCTCATTTGTTCATACAAGAACCTGTATCAAATATAACTGATCCCCAAAAAACTATGACATCTCAAGCATAAATCCGGTCTGTCCATCTGCACATCCTCCGCCTCTCTTTCCAACCCGCGAACAAACCGACTTTCCGGGTCTCCGGACACCTTCGTGCTTGGCAGCGGGTGGTGGTGGCTTCCGTGCGCGTGATGCTTGGGCTTCCGAGTGGGCGGCTTCAGGGAGGTATCCAACTGGCGGCACCGGACGCGCAAAGGAGACGCGCCGAGTAACCCCCGCCGCCAAGGTCCAAAAACCTGCCATCCAAGGCCGGGGCCACGAAACCGCCACTTCCACTTCGCGATCGGTCCCGATCTGCTGAAACGACCTAAATAGCGACCCTTGCTACTAGGTAGCTTCTTGTTACTAGGTGATGCCAGGAGCGCCCCCTAGGTAGCGTCCTTGCTCCTAGTAGTGATGCGAGGAGTCCCGTTCGTAGCGTCCTCTTGTTCCTAGTAGTAAGGCACTTGTTACTAGTAGCGATGCACTTGTTCCTAGCTTCTTGTTCCCCTCTGCCCCGAACCTGCAAGTTTCCTCCCCGCTGCCGGAGGGGCGACAGCGGCGCCGAGCCCGTCGAGCCGGTCGCCGGGTCGGCGGCACCTGGCACCCACGGCGCCACAGCGGCGCCACGGCGGAACAAGTGGACCAGCCCTTTTGGGGGACATGGTTTGAGACTCATTTCTACCGGTTTGGGAAAGAACTTGGATTTGGAGCTGGATGCGGAAGAGCCTCACATTTCACACACCGGATAGCCTGGGGAGCTGTAAGACAAGTTCTCCGGCTCAGTGAGCAACCGGCTCCTCAACCGGTCGTTGCTCCCGAAAAGGGACCACCTTCAGCTGCCCCGGGAGTCTCCGTCGACCTCAAAACGAGTGACCTCAAATCCTGGCCTCTTCAGCTGGGACAGCTTGATCTGCATTTTTGAACAATGTAAAAACTGCTTTCATTGCAGAACCGCCTCCATTGGGACCCTCGACACGCCGCAGCGGCATGGCCAACCGCGTCCACCCGCCTTCTAAATGAGGTGGACGCCGCGCCATGGAGCTTCAGTCGCGTGGAGAACCGGTGGAGCACTTTCCGAACTGGTTTGTTGGGGAAGCTTCAGTTGGACCGCCCTAGTCGCTGAGTAGCTGAGTAGCTGAGCTGTGCAGCTGAGTCACTTGGAAAGACCAGACTGCGCTTTTTGTTCGGTGTCTCTTTTGGTTGACCAAGATCAGTTCTGCATTTCACGCATGTCATGGTTTCGTGTCCACATGGCACACATCCTTCTTTTTGAGCCGACCCGAAAGACTCCGACAGGCACGTCATCTTCCCAGTACCAGTCCTTTCTTTCATCTGTCGCATTGACCTCCGACTCATTGACCTCTTTCTCACGGCAGAGGTCATCTTCCCGGTCCCACCGAGAAGTCAACGTCTCATCTTTCCAAGTCACTCAGCTACTCAGCTGCTATAAGAAGCTCACCGCCCTCCCCCGGTTCGGACCGGGCACCAGCTCGCACACGGAGGGAAGGGGAAGGGACGAACGGACTTTTGACATTGGCAATCGAAGTGATGATTGCAATCTGTTGAACCTGCTCAAGCCCAATGCTCTCATTGATCTCCTACACCACACATGCACATTCCCTCCCACATACCCAAAGGTGGCCTTGTGCATCCTTCTTCCTTTGTGTCCGGGACTCCCCAAAAAGCCCCTCGAAAGGTGGACGAACCCCACCTAGCCGACGAAACGCTCGCGGCTCCTTTTGGTCTCTGCAACTTTGGCGTACGGACAACGCGCAGAAGTGCTTTGATCGGATTCTTGGAGAGCTTCGTTCGTGCCACCTATAGGTGGCTCCAACCATGTCCAACCGGCCACGGGCGTCACGTCCAAGCTTGTAGACTCGTAAAAAGTCCCCTTAAAGCATGAAGAGGTAATTAAATACACGCCAAATGGATTCAACATGGGAAGGTTAATGAAGCAAGTGTCTACATTATAGAAGATTCTTGCCGAGCCGCTGACGAGTTCGATCTTCTGTGCGGCGGAAGCTCCAGCATGTCTGGATGACATGGTCAACTCTCGCAGCTTTGATCAAACACTTCGTGGCACGTTTTCATGTCAAAAGGTCGCTGTGTACATGAGGGATGCTCAAACTTGCAATGCACGTGGTATAACGCGTGAAAACCTGAACCCTCTGCAGAAAGAAGCGTTCAACCTGAACACGTGGTCGATCCACTCCACAGTCTGATCACTTCACAGAACGTGTGAGTTTCACCTCTCCCCTCACTTCATCCAACATGAGCGGAGAATTCTTTGTCCTCCATCTCGGTCGGCGGGCCGATTGGCGCGCGCCGCGCCCTCCGTGGAGGTTGGAGCTTCATGAGAACTTGAATCAAACCATCCTATCCTAACATCCTCCCATCCCAACAGTGAATTGGAAGTTGGACATTGAGACTTTGTCACAAACAGGCGCTCGTGGTCATTTTCCGAGACTTTGAGACTCCAGGTACTCCATGCCTGGGCACGCACGTCCCGGTGGACCTTGGCCCCGTCACCGGGCTTCCCCCAGCGGCGGCAGAAGCCTCGGTGGGGGGAAGGGTGTGGAGCATCTCTACGCGTCAAAGGTGGCGAGCACACGACGGATATGGGGCATTGAAGACTTACATCCAGCAGTCATGTTCGACGGGATGCCTACTCTTGGAGGAAGTCGGGGTGCCCCTGCCACATCCACGGCCCCGTAAGGGGACTAAACACCCCTTTGTGACTCCTGGATGATGCCGTCTTGTGTTTCTTTTCCGCGACTTGCGCAACACCTTGGCAACCCTTGGTGAAGATTCCAGAACACTTTGGCCTTCGGAAAGGCTCGGCGAACTAGTTCCTCCATCAAACACTAAAGGGCTGGCGTGTTTGTTGGGGAGAAACCTTCAATGGTCAGCGTTGAGGAGTATGTGAAGCAACTAGCAACCAAGTGTTCAAACTCTCTCCAACTAACACTTATCGCCCTTCGACCCGTTCGCCTTCCATGAAGAACCGCCAACAAAAAGAGAAACCTAAAGCAGAAGGCTGGTTCTATCACAAATGATCCGATCAACATCCAGCAACCACGGCTGGGTCGGGTTTGGTGTACACTTTTTTTGAACCTACACATGTGACCCGAGGCATTTCTTCACAAAGCCCAGCCTCCCATGTGACTGGAGCCCTTGATCCACAGCCTGCAATGAGGAACACCCAAAAGTGACTGGTGGATCTGGAGTATGGAGGAGTACTCCGATGGTCTATGGAATTCAAAACGGATGAACTCCGATGGTCTTCCAGAACGCGGCCGGCCAGGGCCCCACCTCCCACCTGTCAAACCCCGCCGGGAACACACAACGACCACGTTCCCACCGCGCGGCCTTTCGAAGTCCATCGAAAGCTCTTGCACCTCACGAGGCACGGAGCCAGTCATGAATGAGCCAGCGAATGGCCACCACTTTGGAGGTTTGTCAGCACCAGGGGCAACGACTGGCCTCAGTCAACCAGCATGTGAGTGGGAAAAAAGGACACCTATTCATTCTGCTTTGCACTCTTGGTTTGCACGAAAGTTAGCACGAAGTTCTGGTGTGACCAACCTGGTTGGTCCACAACTCGCCATCCGTCTACTCCTCGTTCGTCCCCCGCCTTGGCGGTGAGGGACTTCAGCTTGTTGGTATAGCCCAGTAGCGTAGCCTTGGGCTCCTGTCAGCCCGGCAGCGCAACAGTGTCATCGGTTCTTCGATGTCTTTTGTGGAACACCACAGTGGTCGCCAGCGACTCAATGGAATGTGGCCCACTTCTTATCTTGCAGTGTGGTGGTGGTGAAGGGATGCAGGATATATGGTATAGTATTAACTGATATAGTCATAGTCTATCAAAACACTTTGACCTGGTCAACTCCAGTGAACACCAACCTGACCAGACTCATTGGCTAAGAAACATGGTTCGGCTTTCAACGGCATAGTGCCAGCGTTTCATGTCCTCAACGGCAGCACGAGGACCTCGTTATGACCACCGCAGTATGGACGTCCCACAACGGGTTACGGCGCAGCGTTTCCACGGGGTGGGCAGGCACACGCCGAGCACGAAGATCCAACGGGGTTCGAACAAAACGGAGTGGTTTGGACGCTCCAAACGGAGGTGAACGAATCAATCCACCTCACAGGTGGAAGATGGTGAAAGAGGTGCCAAACGAAAAAGAACACACGACACGACACCGGTTCTTGTGCTCCAGCTCCAAACAGGGCCTTTTTTGGGGCTCGGAAGGGTACGAAGGGTAGGTGAGAGGAGTTCTGTTTCAAAGGCTTCGGAACTGACGCGTCTCTTTCCCAACCGAATCCTCTTGGCTAACCCCACAAGCTTCCACATCCAATCCGATTCCATCCGACTTGTAGCATCTTTTAGCACCATGTCCTTCCAAACGACTTCCACCACACGCGACCCCGCACTCATCCGGAGTGGCGCCTTTCGGGGCTTCTGCCTCACCAGGAGCGGTTCCGAGCCGCTGGGCCGAGACCCCCTCCACGTCATCCGCGTTTGGAGGTGAGGTGTATAACTCTGAGGGGGTGGAGACTCCATGAACCTGGCCGTCGACCTCCTGGCCTTGCCATCTTCGTTTCTATCCTCTTCGGCTCTAGCTTCCCGCCTCTTCGGCTCCGGCAGCACGTAGCCGTGGCCTTGGGGCGACAGGGCCGTCGAACTGGTGCGGCGCTGACGCACGCGGCCGAGTTCAAACCGGTGGAAAACCGGTGGAAACCCTGTACGAGGTCTCTAGAGGGCCTCACGTTGCTGTACCTTGGCCAGGTCAACTGACCAGTGACTGACCAGGTTTGATGGGCCAGGTTATAGGGGAACGTCGTGAGTTCGATGGGCTCGTCTCCAGAAGGTCCGCCTTTCAACACTGAAGGTAAGCAGTGAACAATGGTGTCGATAGATGTGAATCTTAGTTGAACAACTGTGCTTGAGATCTACCATCATTCATCAAGAACATCACATAATTAGGCACCGGCTGAAAACTGTTCCTCAACAAGACATGGAAGTATTCTGTGCTACACAGCAGCCGCCTCTTGTCATCTCCAGCCTCAAGCAATAACCGCACCACTTCCAAGTGGCCACGAGCAGTTGCAGCCATCAAGGCGGTTGTCCCGTCTTGACT